ATTTATTTAATTGGTTGGTGACATTATACCATGAGAAAAAACAATTTCTATGTCTCTGACAATGATAATAAAATCAGGGGCAGATCCAGAGATATCCGAAAGTGAGGCAGATTTAGACAAAACTACTGTAGTGTGTGGGGTGTATACCCTTGCAAATTTTTTTTTTCTAGACTCCCGAAAATAGCCTCTGAGGAGTTTTGGGCGATCAATTATTTCTTTTTCTTTCTTTCTTTTTTTTTAACTTTCCAAAAAGGGAGGGGGGTCGCGGCCATCCCAGCATTCTTCTAATTCCACCCCTGAAAATATCTGTTTTACTGTACAGGTACAGTACCTCTTAGTACATTATTATTATTGTTGTCATAAGCAATTAGTAGAGCTCCGCATAGTACACTATAGAAAAATTATTATACAAAGATTAGATTTTAATGCTTGAAAAAAATTTTGAATGCATTAAATCTAACCTAAGTATAATAATTTTCTGCTAGTTAGTGTACAATGCATGCTCTATTAATTGCTTTGTAAGTCAATCGCCGTCTTTTAATGTTAGTTTTTATAACCAGCTGTGTTGTACCAGTCATCCACTGCTATAGTGATATGATCAGTATACTGCGTGCATATTTATATTTTGTGCGTATGCTGATTGTGCTGCAGTAGGCAGCGTCTACGCGTCAACTACACATCAGCAGTACGATGAATAACTAGGCCTAAGCTATTTTGTAATTTGTATTGTGTTAGAAGAACTTGTTTGTAATTTTTCACATTCATCAAAGAAATAAACATTTTTCAAAGCATTTGAGAGAGAATACAGACACTGTCACTAAATTTTGGTCGGTGCAGACAGGTAAAAATCTCCGAATGATTTCATAACTACGCTAGGCTATACTGGCTAGGCTAGTAGTAAGAGGAGGCCTCGGCGGCTCTATATCTAATTTAAAGTAACTTTCTTTGGGTTCTAATTAACCTTGTCTTACGAAAGTAATTTTCAATTACAATTCACTTTTTTTAATGCGGTGCACGATGTCTTCACGGTGACGAAAAAAATGAGAATTTTTTTTGCACACGAACCAAGCGTCCACTAATTAAAAAATTAGTGGATGGTGGGGAATAGGCAAATAACATTGGGAGTTGCAGTGATGACGTCACGATTGACTTATAATTATTATTATTACAGTATTATTATATTATTGCTATTATTATTATTATTATTATTATTGTTATTATAATTACAGTTAGTATTGTTATTGTTATTGTTATTAGTGTTATTACTATTATTATTATTATATATAATATTATTATTAGGTCTATTATTATCATAATTATTGTCTGGATCTCTGATACTAAGTGTGTTTGAATAGTTATGATGATGAACTATTATATATTTTTAAAGTACATTATGCTGTGCCTTAGAGTATTATTTTCCAACTACAATAGCATATTAGGGAACTAATACAATCATTTTTTAAGTTATGATGTAATATCTAAACTCTAAATATTAGATCTAAACTCTAATATCCAGAAGATGGATGCCAACTCTGACCATTGGGGAGAAAAAGATTTTTTACACATTATGAAACCGTAAAATCAAAAGAGAAGATTTTATATTACAAATATTTCGTCCTGCTCTTTATTTGTTTGTAACTAATGTAACTCTATGGATGTTACTAGATGAGTTCGGACTTCAATGAATGAGCCAGACACCAAGTAAGCTGGATGTTAACGGTTTTATTCTATACAAAGTGTGAGCCTCCAACAAGATGCAACTTGGCTAGTCGACGAACCCCCACGAGAGAGCGAGACTCCGCGGGAACATCCCATAATAGAGTCCTTGAAAGTTCAAAGGTTACACTAAGGCCAAGTATCAAGTACTGTAATTGGTTTGCAAATATGACTAAGAAGAAATTATGTTCAATTCTGAATTTTAAATAGGCCTATGTATGTTTTCATAATAATTTGTTTTTCTATACAAGATATAGTGACTTGTTAAGAGTTGAATTGTTTATGTCATTTTAACAGGCTGTTTTAACCTGAAATATATTCTGTACTATATGTTTTAGCTTGACAATAATTATCATTTGAGTACTGTTTAGTGCATTTTATTTTAGTGTATTTGAATGTATAGTCATACAATTTGTTAGATTGTTTCGGGGATTGTTTGAAAACAATATTCAAAAAATATAGACTATAAAATTGAGACAGTAGATATCAACATGGACCTGTATTCATATTTTATACTATTTTTATTTGGCTTGTGTTATATCTAAGCAGTTTAATAATTAGCATATAGTGACCAAAAACAATGAATTATGACCATATTTTCCAATGGCGCATGTCGTTTTAGAAAAAATTCCAACAGAAAAATCAAACATAGAATATGTCTTATTTTATGGATTGTATACTATAATAGAATCAATTTTCTGGACAAAAATGACTCTAATCATGATTTCTGTTGTATAGTACAGTAAGTTACTGTAATCTACTACTGTATAAAACAAAACAATTTGACCTGTTTTGTATATGTTCAGCCATGGAAATACTGGTACTGTTTGTGATGAGCTGACAAAAATCTTGTCACCTTTTTACTTCACCGAACTTTCAAAATGAAATTTAATATTTGGATTGTTACTTTGTATATTTAAGATATTAACTTTTAATTTAAATTTAGATTGAGAAAAAATGCCTTTGTCAATTGTGGATCTATAAATAATACAGTTTCTACATATTAGTTTGCATAGATGCCTTTAATTAAAAAATTGGCATGTAATTTAGTGAAAAGGCTGCAAATCAATGAAATATTTTTAATACTGTGTATGATCAGTAACTTACCTGATCTTTAAAATAAGCTGTGTTTAATGTTCCAATTTATAGAGGTCTTCAATATGACAGTTTAATTTATTAATTGGTGATCCTCTGCGTTTACTTCATTCCATTGATTATGATCTCTTTGTTGACAGACAGTTCTGTACCGTATGTACATACGTACGTATATACGTACATAGATAAATATCTGTGTATGATCAATAACTTATCTGCTCTTTAAAATAAGCAGAGTTTAATGTTTCAATAAATAGAGGTCTTCAATATGACAGTTTAATTTATTCATTGATGATCCTCTTCGTTTACTTCATTCCATTGATTATGATCTCTTTGTTGACGGACAGTTTTGTACCTTACGTCTTTATATACTATACTGCAAATTTCACTTATCATAAAATACAATCAATGCTAGTCCTGAAATAAATCAGCAATCTTTATTAGAGTATTTGGTTTTATAACTGTATTTTGGACCATGAAAGTTTGCCTTTTTTTGGTACTTTATTGTGTTTTTATCTATGAATGTTATTTTGTATTCAGAATAAAAATATATAAAATAAAAAAATATTTGCATAACTGAATGCATTATTTAACGTAAAACAGCACATCATACTTTATATTAAATTTTTGTTGCAGTGAAAATGTTTCTATTTTTGTCATTTTGTTTCACATTTTGCTGAGAAAAATGGGGTTAAGTAAACATAATGTATATAGTATTTCCGTGATCAGCCAAAAACTAATAAGTGAATTTAATTTTGGCGAAAACGCAAAGGGTGTAGCACACGGTTGTTGAAATTGGATGATGTTTGGACCCTGTCATTTTCCTGTTGGTTGGTTCGTGTTTGGTGGCACCTACGGATAACAAAATTCCATCTTTGCAAATGCCACCCAAACCTATATTCAGGCTTAAATAATGTTAATTCATAGATGATATCTAATTACTTCCTTATAGGCACAATTCTGGTTGGCATTATTCTCAACATTTAATGCAATGAAAATGACATTGAACAAGGTTAATTTAAACATAGTTGGTGTTTTCATGATCCTTGGATACCATAATATAAAGAAACAGATGAAAAGGCCTTGGTGAAAAACAGCCCATTTTTTTCAAAAACAAAAAGGGTTTTTGTTAAATACCTGTAAAGAAATTAGATCTTGAGAAAACTGCACTTTTTTGTCGCAGGCTCCCAGCCCCACTCTCTCAGCATCATAGCAGCTGTAGCTCGTCTACGTGAAATTGGTAAATAATTATATTTTATACTATTTCATATTTCTCTTTTTGTTTTACTATTGTCTTTTTAATCATTGTAGGATAATACTACCCTAGGGGGTACAGGGGACATTCCTCCGCAAAATTGCTGTGTTCTAGGTGCCCGAAAATAACCTCCGAGGCATTTTAGGCAATAAATTCTTTCATTTTCTTTCTCTTCCTTTTAACTTTCAAAGGCGTATCTTTTCTTGGGGTATTCATATGCCCTCCTCTCAAGTGGAGTGGAATAGCTTGGTGGTTAAAATGTTTGCCTTTTAATCCCAGGGTCCTGTGTTCAAATTCTGTCAGACTCCAGAATGTTTTGCATTGACAAAGCAACCTGCTCCATGAGCTTTTTTATGAAACTTAGTTTATGTAGAGCATCGTGTGTACAGTATATGTTTGTCATGTGAAGGGATTGCCACCCTTCTAATAGAACAGTAATTAAAGATATGTTCGGACCTGGTAGATACCCCAGGCGTATCTAACGCCGGGCGTACGTTAATCCATGGCATAACTAGCGAGATGTCCATGTGATTAACGAAACGCTAGCATATATATTTGCGCAAGGTATTCGTAATCACACATTTTATTTCCTGTTTGCTTATTGTGATTGGTCAAACCCTCGCCGAGTTCAGAATCATTGATGCATGACTTTTGTAACTCGGTGGCGTAGGCTAATCTGGGGTCTGTTGGTGGATTATTGTGTGTTAATACTGGCAATTTAACACCAATTGAATAAAGTTGCGCTAGCGTAAGTTGTTGTGTCTGAACATAGCCTTGTCTTTATTGGTAATCCTTGGCCATTTGCCTGAAGGAATGAAATGAAATGAAATTTAAATTAGGTACGCCATTGCTACTTGCCAGATTGAAAAGTCTGTGGTGTAATTCTGGATGTTCCTGATACCATAAAATGACATAAAATCACAAAGTATGCTATAAAACCTCTTCATTTTTTTAATCAGAAAATTGTAGAATAACAATAATTCAATAATGGTTGCTAAGATTTGATTGTCTCTTGAATGATTCTTATCATTATCAATAAAGTTAAATAAAGTATATTTAATATTTAATTCTTTTTCAGAAGTCTGCATTTGTTTATTGTTGAGAATGTTATGCAGGCATATTGCATACATCATACTCTTAGTCCATTTCCTTGGCATAAAAAATCATCAAAGTTTAGCTACAATATTGTATATAATGAGGTCATGAAAAGTAAGCACTCCATTGGTTGAATTTATTTAAATTTATGTGTTTCATAATTGGTAGAGAAGTTGCCTCAATTCTGGCTGAATTTTGCAGCCTTCCAGTTTCCAGTCCAAAGCTGAGAAGTCTGCATCTTCAATACGCTCTTTTTTATGGTTCAGTAGTTCTGCAGCTTCTTCAGTTCTTCAAAAGAAAAAACAAACAGGAGGATAATAAATGAATGAGAAAAAGCATATTAAAAGTCAAAAGTCAGAGTATCCTTTATGCATCCAATACTGGAAATTACATTGCTCATGCAATTTATAAGTATTTTTATATTATTATAATTATTATTGTTGTTATTTAAAATTGATAAAAAGGCATATAAAAAAAGGTACAATAGATAAATTATGCATTTTAATCTAAAATAAGACGACAACACAAATTGGTCAACAAACCACAATATGAAATTTAAAAACAAAAATTACTCCCCATGCAAAAATTTCATAGAAATAATTAAGTATGAGGAAAGAAATTAGGGAGGTCAGAAAAATAATTGGGGTGGGACACAACACTTCATTCTCTGCTCTTATGTCGTAAGATATTTTTGGTTGATGTCTTCCTACTTTTTTTTATAACAGCCCACAATGTGAAGGGAAAACAATGTGAAGGGGAAACTGACTGTTATTGCTAGAAGGTGTTAAATTTTTTATAAATATCTTTTAAATATTATTAGTCAATCTTTGAGCTAATGTAAAGATAGTTGAATACTTACGTCAGTTGCTGGAACAGCAGTCTTTCCGTCAATGCGGATATTGCACAAAACATCTTGGATCTCAACTTTATACTTCGATCTGCCTTTAGCAGATCCTGTAGTGTCTGAATTTGTTTGGAATCAATGGAATCAACAAAAATATCCCCAAGAGCCTTTTCCATTTCCTGAATAAGAAAAAAAATAAAATAAAATCTAATAAAAACAGTAAATGAACTACTGTATATGACAGTTGAGATCAAGCAAAAATGCAATGTTATTTTATGTTTTTAAATGACTGATATATATATATATATATATATACACACACGCTTAGAAGTATCCATAGGGGGAAACTAAAACAATGAAGTGGGTTAAAAACAGTACCTTAAGGCGAAAGTAGTGTCGCTAAGGGGAAACTAAAGCGACTTTAAGGCGAAATCATAGACAAAAGAGTTTCCCCCTAAGAGCCAAATAAAGGTATATATATATATATAATATAATTATTATTATTATTATATTATTATTATTTCCTGTCAATTTTAATTATGGCAATTAATAATTACCTTAAAATTAATTACGCCATCATTATCTCTGTCCACCTTTCTGAATGCCTTCTTGTACAGCGCCTGCCTTCTTTTATTTATCTTACAGTACCTTATGAGGTAATCCATTGGAGTCATCGACTCCAGGACACGTACATCCATTGGTATTTCAAAACGACTGGACTGACGTGAAAGTGCCAAACGTCCACGCAACCATGACTGCATCTTGGGTTTCTGTAAATCAATGGATAAGTCACATTAAAAATTCTCAAAGTTTTGGAGGGGAAGTGGGTATATTCCACAAGACAATAATTGTACATATTTAAAAATATGTGTATTCATTTATCACAATAAGAAGTATTTAAGATTTTGATAATATAATTAATTTGTAATAGCCGGCAGTCTTGAGCATTGTAATTTCTAGTTTTTTGGACAATAAAGAAATCTGTATCTGTATCTTCTATCAAAAGAAGTTAAAAGAAGTAAACTGAACTGGCTAGGACACATGCTACGACTACCAGAACAGACACAGACAAAGACAGAATTAAAAGAACACATGAGGAAAGTAAAAGAAAACAAAGGTGGACCTAAACACACATGGATCAAACAAATAAACAAAAAACCTCAAAGCAATCAACAAAACAACCAATACTTGGAACAATAACTTATTGTGAGTGGCTGAATTGGAAGAGGGTAGTAGCAAGGCTAATGGCTTGACTACAGGTAAGTCAAAAAGGGAAGAAGAAGAAGAGATTCATTTATCCATATTCATACATCTGGTTAGTAATGTAGGCCTACTATTCTTTTTAAGACAACACAAAATTTTATATAAAAAAAAACTAAACCATGAAAAAAAATGAGGATATAATAATTGATAATCATGTACAGTATCCATAATGATTAAAGTCTTCATTTTGGCACAATTGTTATGATATAATTGACATTTATAATATTACTATATATAATGAAGACTCCTACCTTGATATCAACATCAGAAATGTCTAAGACCTCTGGAATATCAGGTGAAGCTTCCGTCCCACGCCGTCTCATCCTCATCTCAATATCCAGCAGTTCCTGAAAAAAGTAAATATGAGGTACAGTATGAGAAAAAGAGCCCAAGGAAAAAAATGAATCATCTTACTAATAGTTGAATAGCATTAATACACTTCCACCAGTTACCAAAAGAATTGTATTATGTACTGATTGAATTGCTTCAATTGTCTTCATGAGACTGAATTATTCTCTTGAAGAAGATTGAAGCAACCTTAAACAGTGGAGACATTTTCAACAAACAGCAGTTCTTTTCAGAATTATGTGGTGTACCACAAACATTAAATATATTATTATTATTATTATTGTTATTATAATAATAATAATTATTATTATTATTATTATAATTTTGACTACTATTTTATAATGAATTGTCAAAAGCATTTTAGTATTTTAAATAGTATTTTAAATTTACTTAGTATAAATCTACGAATCAAAAATACATATATCTTTACTATATTGTTATGTTCATTGGAGTTAAAATGACATGCTGTTCATAGTAAAATCTACATTTGATTTCATGCACTAGAAAGGTGCAATGTAAACAAGAGACCACCTTCAAACTAAAATACCCTATAGTTTAAGCTGCCCGCCAATAATGATGATTTCGAATAAAAATACAATTATATTTTTGACCAATTAAAAGAAAATGGAAATTTCAGAAAAAAAAATTGTTCTATATTTCTATTACACCCAATTTTATATATTAATATTTCTTTCCTTTCCACCCTCCTCTGACAATATTTAACAAAATAAGTTTACAAAACAAGGTACAGTATAAAGGACGTCTCGTTTAACATACAAAAAATTATTATGCAATTTTTTCAGGCATCTGCCAAATTATAAAGCATTACAAACAGGTATTGATCTTTGGGGGTTTCACTATCAGCTGAGGCCTACTAAAACAATCTTCAAAAAGTGTTAATAAACATATACAGAAATGTAGATAATAAATGCTTTGTTTATATGCTCAACCTTTGACATGTGCATGCGCAGTTGAAACTAAAAATGGGATACCAATTTTACTGATGAAAAATATGAACATGATGATGCATACTAAACTACGCAATAACCAAGCAGACAACATACCAGTACTGTAATACATAAAGTGACCATATATAAAGCTTGCCATCCCAAAAAAAGCATCAATGACCAGAAAATGAAAATTGTCTTTTTAATATATTCTTATTCTCCATATTATAAGCTTTAAAATGATGGGTAATGAGTAATACTAGATTCTCATGGTTAAAAATGTTACACATGTTGTGTGCTAATGATTAAGTATGTTTCATTGTGTCCATGTGAATGCACATAACACACCCAAAGATAATGAACCATTCCTCTTAGCCCCACTCCTTGGATATTGTTGATAGGTCCCACAAAACAATAGTGTAAATGTACATAAACACATGCGTCCCATCCCCCACCCCTTCAGCCAAAGCTCGTCGGGCAGTCGGACCAAAAAAAAAAAAAAAAAATAGGCCTAGTTTTCCCATCCCAGCTATTTCCGGCCATTTAGAAGTCCCAATTTAAAAAAAAAAACCTTGTTTTGGGAGGAGGGGATACCCCCTCCCATACGCACCCCCGGCTCCGGGCTTCGATCCTCAGATAACGCTGCGCGCCATAGTTACACCCATAAATACTTAGCCACCGCAGTCGGACACCATAGCCCCCCACCCCATAAATTATATCCTAGAGCCGCCACTGTTGTGGGACAATATGTTGTGTTTGTTGGACACGCACGTACCTCTGGCACTGTTCTGATTGTTAAGTTCCTTAAAAGGTCCTTATTAGCATGGGGCTGAGCGCAGCTTATATTTTCGCTGTGGTTGTGCTTCATCTCTGTCTGCATATTAATTACTTTACTAGCAATGAAAAACTAGGGAAGTACGTACAACTTTTAGCACAAGTCCTGTGTAACATTTTGTCTTGTGCGAATCTGGTGTTAGCATGGGCTATGAGAACATACCACATTTTTAAACAATCATTTTTACCAATTCTAGTACATGCAATTGAACCTGAATATGAGGTTAATATGAGAAAGCTATGTTGTTATGGTACATCTTGCAACAAATATGCATAATGATATCTATCTAAATGATAATTATAACCACCAGAAGCAAAAACATGTAGAGTATACATACTTTTAATGACTGTTGAAGAAATCCAAAGAGGGAAGAGAAGAGAAAACAGAATGTTTATAAAAGGTAAATAATAGATTCTGCAAGAAGATCTATGTGATAAAAAATGTATAATTATTAATACAATTGTAGATTTTTGCAGTACTGTATATATTACATATATAATATATATACAAGATTGCAAAAATATATAAAAGAATCAATAGGCACACAAGTAACATTATGCTGTAAATATAATTAAGTAAAGACAGCAGTTTCAGTGTTGAAAAATTGTAAACTGCAGTATATATTGAGAGTGTCGACATGGATATGGAGACAATATATCGGAACAACATATACCATATATACACATACATCACATCAACATCTTTGACAGATTCTTTATCTTAAGCGATCTCCAGTATTCTTACCTGGGAATCTAGCCCCAAGATATCTACTTTGTACTTTGGTGGAGGACCAAGTGTTCTTCGTTTCTCAGTACTCCCATCTTCAACTTCATTCTGATTTTCACTAATAATATTAAAATTGTAATCATTATACAGTATTTAGGACAGAAAAACGTGTGATGTAAGCAGAATGACAAATATAACTGATGAGGTATGTGGCCTTATAGTAAAGAGGGAATCAAAATGTAATTATGCCAAATAAGGTATGAAATTTGTCTACCTGGTACCCTCTGCACCAGAGCCAGCTGAACCAAGCTCTTGGATCTCTGGAACATGCTCTTTATTTTCTGTTTCTCCATTTTCACTCTGAAATAAAATATTGACGATGAAATTATTATAGATCAACTTGTTAATAGCTGTTGCAGTGCTGTCAGTCATTCTGGTGGGAGTTGTAGTGTTTTTGTGGCCAGGGTGATTATTGCAATAGCACTTATGTGGCAGCGATGGGTAACAGTGATTCTGGTAGTAGCAACGATTCTGATAGCATCAGCGATTCTGGTAGTAGCAGTGATTTTGGTAGCAGCGTGAACCTTGTAGCAACAGTGACTCTGCCAGCAGCAGTGATTGTGGTAGCTGCAGTGAATCTCGTAGCAGTAGTGATTCTGGTAGTGGCATTGACTCCTGTAGCAGCAGTGATTCTGGTAGCAGCTGTGATGGTATTGGCAGTGATTCCTCTATTAGCAGTGATTCTGGTAACAGCAGGGCAGTGGCGTCTCTGTTCTGGTGTTGACATTTTTTAACCTCTTCATATGAATGAACACACAATGCAACACATTTCTTTACGTACATTCAAATGCAAATAATACTATACTGTACCTGATTTTCCTCAACAAAGTCCTTCTCAAATTCTTCTTCACCACCACTGGATTCTCCTTTTCCTTCCTCATTTTCTTCCAATGGTACCTCCAATTCTGGAATTACTTCTGTGGTTTTAGTATCTTCAATAACCTAAAAATATACCAACACAATTAGAGTAATACAAACCTTAAATAAGGCTATATATGGCACTTGCATACTGTCTGTTAAGATGTGCAGTGGCTGTGCCAGTAATTTTTCGATAAGGTCCCCATCCTTGCTCACATCAGCCTCACTGTGGCTGAGATCAGTGGTGGCGCTAGGATTTCCCCGATGGCGGGGCAATGCCCCCAACAGGCAGGACAGTGTTGTAATTTGGCGTGAAGCACCATCCAAGGGGCCTAGGCCCAAGCAGGAGTGACGGTTTCGGTTTCGGATTGGTTTATCCCTCTCACCAATGAGAACATTGTTTTAAATAATAAACTGCTAGACGCTCATACAGGGCATCCTGACCTAAGGATGGTGTCCAAACTATTAATTTACATAGGCCTGTAAACACTTCATAATATTCATTTTATCCCCCGACGAATCTCTCCTAACTTCCCGGCCACTGACTGAGATGATTAAATTTCAAAACCTCTAGATGCCTAAAAATGGCATTTTCACACTGTTACAATTCCTTTTTAATGTTTTAAAGTTTCCTGTAAAAATTATACGCTTCTTCCCTTACAAGGGGCCCTGTGCCACCTAGACTGCAATCCTCCCACAAACCACATACCTCCCACCACCACTGGTGCCACTAATGTAAACAAGAAAATAGGATAGGAAATCTCAAGAGATTACAAAAGCATTGGGGCAAACTCAAACTCTACATTAGAATTCTCTTAAAAACTAATATCAATTCTGAGCAACTTTTTTTTGAATTCAAAACAAAATACATCTTGTACCAGTGGGTCTTGGAATTTGACTTCTTTTTTTGGCTGAGGTGGTGGTGTTGGTACCCTCTCAACTATTGGAGGAATTGGTGCTTCCAGTTCCAGTACCTCCTCTGGTGGCATTTGTAGTGGTGTTATTGCTGGTGGCGGTGATGTTGACAATGATTCTGGTGGTGGTGATGTTGCTGGTGGTGGTGATGCTGGTAGTGGTGGTGGTGAATCTCGAGGAGATGATGTTGCCTCTCTTGGCAGTGGTGTTTCTGTTCTTGGTTCTGGTGTTGGGGATATCTGTGGAGGTGGTGTAGGCTCCCTCTCTTCAAGTGCTTTTTCTTCTGGAGGAGGTGAAGACTGTGGTGTTGGTGTCTATGGAAGAAGAAACCAAACAATTCCACATATTAAACATTCATTAATATCAACTTTTTATTAAGTATTCTTCATAATATGAAATTAAATTTCATTACCATAATATAATTATATATATATATATATATATATATATATATATTTTTTTTATTTTTTTATTTTTTTTTTATTTTTTTTATTTTTTTTTTTATTTATTTATTTATTTTTATTTTTATTTTTTTTTTAAACCAACATTCAATCAATATTGAACAAATAACAAAATAAAGTTTGAACCAAAATCAAACCAATGTCAGAACAATACCAAACCAATATCAAACCAATAACCGAATTAATACTGAACCGGTATCAAACCAATACCAAATTAATACTGAAGTAATATTAGAAAAACCAATATTAATTATTGAATCAATATAAAATAAGCATTAAACCAATATCGAACCAACATTAAATTGATATTATTAATTAATAATTAATTTTGGATCAATTTCAAACTTACAGGGGCATGAGGTTCAGTAATCTGATCAAGCCTGCCCTCTAACGGGTCTGGTATCAGGTCAAAAACTACCATATCATCTTCTAGTAGGTTCAACAACTCATCTTCTGTAAAGTAGAAATGACAGCAAGTTCACAATAAATATGTTACAAAGACTATTGTTTATTTGGTATTGATTGTACAGAATTTGTGGAGAAAAAAGATAATAGACTCATGTCAATTTATCTGTCTATTAATAGTGGTTATATAAATGCATAATAGATATATTATGCATGATGACAAAATATAAAAAAAAAATCAAACCACTATTGACAGGTTTCAAACATTAATAACAAAGAAAAACACATCAAATATGTAATATCTCTTTGACAGTTACTTCCAAAGCAAGCAAAGGGTTCCAGATGCAAGCATAGCAACCACTAAGTTGCTAGTGAATTTAGAATTCTTAACAATGTTAATGGATAATGTGATCTTTGTACTGTATGGATGAACATGATAAATTATGCAAACTGCTTTTCGAATGTCATCATGTTACTAAGCTTATAAAGTATGTACAGTACACAAATACAAAGGTCTGAATGATTATAATAATAAAAATAAATATATATTACTATATTTTATCATGCCAAATACATCCATCACTACTACATACTTTACCTGCATTAGTTTTTCCATCTCTTTCATCAAAATTCTCAATCTCAATTATGTTTTTATTTGTAACTTTAATAGGCTGCTCTACTGGTTTTTTCCATAGTTGACTTCTCCGTAAATCTCTCCTTGTCTGGGATACCTCTTCAAAAGCTCTCCGTGGATGCGGAGGCGGTGATGGGGTTGAATCCCGCTCGATAAGGTTGATTCCTGACACAAAGTTGGTGTAGTGCGGAACGTTCCCACGACGTACCTTGAAAAAAAGGAGAATAATATAAACCATTAGCTGATAAATAGCAAATACTTGCCGAGCCAGTAGGGCTCATAGGGCTGGAGCTTATCCCCACAGTTCCCCCTGGATGGGATGCTGGTCCACTACAGGTTACTCCCAGCAATTTCCTGGTACCCACTGATACAGCTGGATGACTGAAGCAATGTAGATAAAGTGCCTTGCTCAAGGACACAAGCGAAATGCACAGTGAAGGATTGAAACCCCGATCTCGAGGAAACCAAAGCATTCCCACTGCAAAACTCCTTCCATTAGCTGATATATACAACCATTTTATTATTAATAATAATAATAATAACAATAACAATAATTAACAACAATAAAAATAATAATAATATGCGCTAAGTCTGACTTAAGGGGAATATCTTTTGTGTTATTTTCCCCTTAACGTCATGTTATTTTCCCCTTAATGTCTTTTTTTTTAATTGTTCTTTACAAAATCTCCATTGGCTAAGTTCCCCTTAAGGTAGGTTTTAGTAACATACATAATAATAAAGCAGCAGAGCTCAAGCCAAGGAAATAACTTATATATTATATTTGTTCATTTATAAAATATTAAATTAATATTTACAGTTATATTTTATAAGAAGACATTTATAAATTAACAATAACATCAACTTTACATCATTTTACAAACAGTTTTTATATATACTGTATACTAACATTGTTGTGCCTTGGTAATTGGAAATACTCTCGTCTCTAAGAGAAAAAAAATATAAAGAATATATCATCAGTAAAATTTACATTAATAAAATGTGTTTGTTAATATCTGAAAAAGAAATAAATTCAAAAATTATATAATCCCAGAAGTTATAGAAGTAAATAGTCTAGAAATAACAACCATTTATTAATATAAAATTTAATCATGTAAATTTAAAATTTTTTCTTTAGTCTAAGAAGGTGCCAGTCTGCAATTAAGATGTAACAATACTTAGGTTGAAAGAATGCCTGCATTCAATGTATCCAGGGTACACTGGCGGAGATTACATGAGCAAAAGGAAGCTACATTCTGTAACAAAGTCATTCATGCTGAATACAAACATTTCCATAGTACAAGCAAGTCAGATAGTTGTCTCTCTCTTTTCAGACTAACTCCCTCAACACAATCAAATTCTAACAGCTTTACCGCCAGCTGTCTGTTATGATTTAAAGCAACAGCCTACTTGAAATCTTACAATTATGGAAGACTTCCTTGCATTTATAAAGTTTATAATATTTATAGCTTTGTTCACAAATTCTTTTATATGAGAAAAAAAAATCATGTATAAAAGATGAATAGGAAAAGACACAAGTTGAATTACTGAAGTTTATAAATGAGCAAATTAAGAAAGACAGAAAAAAGACAGGGTATGAGAAATGATGGGATAGTGAGGAATAAAAATATAACTGATTTTTTGACACAATTAAAATGCAGCAAGTACTGTAATGTGTAAAAATGGCAGTTTTCACTTCTGTGCATGAAATATATACAATTATTTATCACCATAGTAACTGATCAACAAAGCAACTGAATACAATACAGTATCTATGATCAAACTTAGAAAAAAAGATAACAGAGTAGTTTGCTTTGGAATTCTATTAAATGATTCAAGGGATCTCAAGCATTATTTAGGATTTGTATACATTGTTTGTGCTTTTAGAGCAAATAACTGTTTCTACGGTAATAGCTCAGTGTGCATGGCAACACTCTTACACATTTAAAACTAACAAAACCTGCCTTGAACACAGATCACTTTTTTATTATTATTATTATTTTTTTTGGGAGTAGTTTTTAGACTATGAATTAGTATCATTATTATAGTTATCATAATAATCATAATAATAATAATAATAAATATCATTACTTATTTTATCATTATTAATTTTATACCATGCGAAAAAACATGCTATAATTTATACACAACCATATAAAACAAATGTAAACAAAAATCATAAATCTGGATCTAATTGAACTCAACAGTTACAATTACGGAATTATGAATTATTAAAAGATTTAAACAAACCATGCATGTCTCTCATTTTTTTACTTTACTGCAAGCATGCGTTCCCTGAAACCTTCAATTTGATAAAATTTGAGGCATCGCATAGGCACTCATTCTAATAAATAATGCAAAGTCTTTTATGGAATAAGTAAGCTACAGTAGGGGTATTGAGGTTTAGAGTCTGTATTTTTCTGATTGATCACTTTCCAGGAAATGTCAACTTTGAAAAAGGCAAACGATGAGGGTAAAACACATTATATATTGTCTGTAAATAGTACTTCAAAGGTATTGTGAAAGGGGCAACATCAAACTGACATAATATTGGCACTTGACTTGCCAAACCCAAAGAAATTTCATTTAACCTTCCAATCCTAAGGAACATATCTGAAAACTATTTCAGCAAATTAGCTAAATTGTTTTTACTTATTCTAACTAGGCTTCACTTAAATTGTGCAAATGGATTGCCCTGATTGGTTTCCACTCCAATCACTTCTCCTTCATGAATGGTGCTCCGAGGTTCTATAAAGGAAGCACTTCTTGTTTACTTCTATGAGATTAAATTCTATCAATATAAATATTGATTGTTTCTTGAGAATCATCAAACATTTGAGTTCAAATAAGAACAAGTAAATATTGGCAGAAGGTGGAGAATTATAGATGTTGTTGTTTGACACGCATTGTAGTAACTGATTAATAACTAGATTAAGCTTAATCCTACAAATAGATTTTTGACCAAGAAAATTATCTTTATAAAGTTCCCTCAGTACCAAATATTGCCTTTACATGAAGGGAAAAAAACTGTTTTTTCTCCTAAATATGCCTTTGGGGAGATGCGCGATGCCTCTACACTGATCACATTCTGCGTTTATTATCAATATGTGTGTTAGTTTTAGTACAGTACATCTTTGTTATTGCGCACATATCATGCATGAAAATTAAGATCCAGGTCACTAATCCAATTTCTACTGTCAATGCTATCGCCATCATCATAACCATCATTGTTATTTGCTAATAATCACTTTATAATGTTAAACATTGTAATCCATTACAATCATGAAATCTAATCATATCATCATGATCATCTACTATTTCAGTAGGCTATACTTCCTGATTATTATCAGGAAGTATGGCCTACTGAAATAATAGATGATCATGATGATATGCCATACTTCTTGATTATTATCATTATTAATATTCTACAATACATTTCTATCGAGCCTTTTAACCCTACCGTTGGTGGTGCTGTACGTGGACGTGTCCAAAACATGTAACGTTCAAAATGTGATGGTAAGACTGTTGCAGATAGACCAGTAGATGATGTTGGTCTGAAACTGCTACTGGAAACTGGTCTACAATCAACTGGACAGTAGGAGCAATCGTCCTGATCCATTAATTCTAAATGTTCAAGATCCTCATAATACTTTTTATAGGTGGGGCTATTACGAAGATGCTCTGGGTCAGATGATCTGGACGCTAAGCGTGCGCTTTGTGCACGTCTATGATGTAACTGAGACCTATTTGAATTTTGCGAGTCCGGTCGGTAATCATAACAACCAACTTTCTCATGCCTATACATCTGGTTGCCATTTTGCTGAGCACTTTTGGGGCGGTTTAAGAACTTGAAGTTGGCCGGCGTCGTTGCACTTCGCTGTGTCGCACTCTTCACCCTTCTCTTCTGTTGCAACTGTTGACTGTTTGGTTGAAATGTATTGGAAACATATTCATGTCGATTCTGGTTTCTGACATCATTTTGGGAAAAATCATCCCTCTCAAATTTCTTGTAGCCCTGGGATAACCAGGGTATATTTGGGTCCAACATTTCTCATAAAACCTGAAATACAAGAAAGAAGAAAAAACATTCAAGAAAGTACATTGTTATATATCGTAAGCCTAGTCAATATTTTGCATCATATCCTTTGATATACATGTAAGTCTAGAGACTTCTTATAATATATTTTTGGGTTTAGTATATTGTACCTAATTTTAAATGGGGAAATCGAGTGGCACAGATCTATCTGTATGATCATTGATAAGGACCCACCTAATAATTTTATGTTATACTAACTTCAAAGTTTGTTGTACATAACATTTTTTTGTAGAACTATAAATACATAGTTATAACATTATTTCAAAAACTACATAAAACTGCAATGTTGTATCAGAAAATGATGATAATACAACATTGCAATGTTATTTACCTGTAGTTGTGAAATTAGTTATAACATGAATACTGTATGTTTTGTTCTTTTTTCTTGTGATGTCTGTGATCCTTGTTTGTTCTTTTCTGTTGTTCTTTTAAGACACTGCACCTTCAGCACTTTTGGTGGAGATGTTTGCACTATAAAAGTAGTTATCATTATCATCATTATTATTATTATTAATTATTATTTTTTCCTGGGTGGGCAATGGGCATCCGAATTGTGTTGGGGACAGCATGGATTATAATGACCTTAAGGGATACATTCGTGAAAAGATTTCTTAATTACCATAAGAGTTAAGACATGGACTTCATAGCTGAACATCACAGATGGACACCATTCATGGACATCATAAATGGAGTTGCCATCCATTATCGAAATTAGGAATGAGTTCCACAACCCAACTGTGTCTCTAACAGTTTTTATTTCAACTTAGTTATAGGCCAATCTATGTTGAAAATTTACTATAATTTAAAATTTTATATGAATTTTATAGGATAACCAAGTCAATTGTAATGAGAATGGTTCTTAGCTCTGGAGGAAAAAAAATGTTGATATGTTGTAGAACTGACTTTTCTAATACAGAAATATGTTGTTTGACAAAAACTGGGGAATGGTGAATGAGATACAGATTTTTGAATATTTAAAAACTGGGGTAAAAATGTGTACACCCCTTTCCCCCAGTTTTTAAATATTCAAAAATTTGTATCTCATTGACCGTTCCCCAGTCTTAGAAAAATCAGTTTGTGACAACATATCCACAAATTGTTTTCCTCCGGAGCCACACTTCCATCTAATTATACCCTACTATCGGGATATGACCGGTTGAGCCGCCGACAAGTTGAGCCGCCGGTAATTTCTATGGAACGCCAAGCGCGTCTTTCAGTGAATGTAGTGCGTCTCTCAGTGAATGGAGTCGGCTTGCCGATATCATCAGTGAATGAACCCCTGGATACCAGCTACATATTCATTCATTCTCAGTATTGTCAGTCGTTGATTTGCTCGTATTGCCGTTCGTGATGTATAATTGTGTAATTGAAAATTAGAATTTTGATATTTTTATGTATTACATTTTTATAAAAATATATGAAGTTGTATAATTGCAAAATCGTATTAAAAATGTAATTTTATGTACTACATTTTTATAAAAATAAATGAAGTTGTATAATTGCAAAATCGTATTAAAAATGTG